AAAGATAGCATCTTCAGGGAAGAAAGATAGCATCTTCAGCAAATGGTGCTGGCACAACTGGATTCGGACATGCAGAAGATTGCAGATAGATCCATATCTGTCACTATGCACAAAACTTAAGTGCAAATGGATCAAAGATCTCACCATAAATCCAGCCACACTGAATCTTCTAGAAGAGAAAGTGGGAGCCCTTGAACGAATTGGCACAGGAGACTGCTTCCTGAACATTATACCAGTAGCACAGACATTGAGATCTTCAATTAATGAGTGGGCTCTTCTGAAACTGAGAAACTTCTGTAAGGCAAAGGACACAGTCAGCAAGACAAAACAACATAGAATGGGAACAGATCTTCACCAACCCCACATCTGACAGAGGGCTGATTTCCAAAATATACAATGAACTCAAGAAGCTAGCCACCAAAACATCAAACAACGAGATGGACTTCTCAGCCTTCCTCTATCCCTATTATTCTTAGGTTTTGTCTTTTCATGGTGTCCCAGATTTCCTGAATGTTTTATGTTAGGAATTTATTGGATTTAACATTTTCTTTTACTGATGAATCTATTCCTCTATGGTAACTTCAATGCCTGGGATTCTTTCTTCCATCTCTTGTAATCAGTTGGTGACACTTACATCTGTAGTTCCTGTTCACTTCTCCAGATTTACCATTACCAGAATTGCCTCAGTTTGTGCTTTCTTTATTGTTTTTATTTCAATTTTCAAGTCTTGAACCATTTCCTTCACCTGTTTGATTGATTTTTCTCGGCTTTGTTTACACTCTTTGAGAGATTTATTGATTTCTTCCAATTTTTGTTTGTCTTTCCCTCTACTTCTTTAAAGGAATTTTTACTTTAAATTTGTTTACTCTTTAAGAGCCTCTATCATCTTCATAAAGTAATTTTAAGTTTTTTTCTTGTATTTCAGCTGCATTGGAATATTCAGGTCTTATTGCTGTAGGATCACTTGGTTCTGGTGGTTCCATATTGCATATCAGTGGTTGAATGTATTCTGACACTGGTGTTTATCCATCTTTTTTTCCAACTGGTGTGGGCTATGCCTGTATCTGTCCTTCCAAATATTGTGTTTTGCACATGTGCTTATGTAGTCTGCTGTTTCTCCAACTGGTGTGGTTTGTTCCTGTGCCTATGGAGTTTGCTTTGATTATGGATGATGGCTGGCCATGAGGAGGATGTTTAGGTGTGTAGGGTTAGACTGCAGAATGGTTCTTGGAGGGACCAAGTTCTGTGCATGACTGTGATAGGGGCATAGCTCAGAGGCTGGTCTCTCACCTGCTTGCAGGCTAGGTTAGGACTGCACTGCAGTGTATTTCCACTAGAGGTGGGGACAGTGTCCGGCTGCCTTGCTAGCCCTGGGAGGGGAAGGTGAGGAGCACAGGATGCACCCAGAGGTTCAGTTACGATCTGGACTTTGGAGCATTCCAGCTGAGTAGCCAGTCATTCATATGTTTGTCCAGCTGGTTTGGTTTATGCCTGTGCTATATAGTGGTTGCAGGGTAGGGTTGGCTGGCCTTGGGCACTATGTTCATATGCATGGGGTTTGTTGGCAGAGTGGGTGTTTTTGGCATAGAGTCCAGTGGGTGATGGCAGTGGGGGTGCAGCACTGAGGCAGGAATCTCAACTGTTTGCAGGCTGGTAGGGACTTCACCAGAGCAGTGGGGTCAGGGTCCAGGTGAATTGCTGTTGCTGGGATGGAGGGTCAGCTAATTTGATTCTTTAACAGGTGGATAGCATGCTTTTCCAGCACCATTTATTGAGGAGACTTTTCTCATTTTCTTCTTTCAGAAAAACATTTGTTCTTAGTGGATTTCATAACTTGTATATTGATCATATTCACCATATCACTAAACTTCTAGAGCCACAGCCCCTGCTCTACCCAAGCAACTTTATGTTTGACCTATCTTTTTTAAATCTATAAAATCCCATTTGTGCTTCATATATGCTGTTGGGTGTGTGGCCATCCATTGAAGCATGGTTAGCCACTTGGTTCACACTATTAGAGAAATATGACTCTCCCTCTCCCAATATCTCCTCAGTTAGGGCTGAGCATTATGCAAACCTTCTGACTCCATGCTGGGATTTCATTTAACTTGAGTGTGGACCAGAAAATCTTCTCCCTAAATCCATTGACTAGAGCATCTCTCAAGCTTCATTGGAGAAACTTGGGTGTCTTGCAGTAGAAAGCAATGAACACAGTGACCTTTAACTGGTCAAGGAGCAGAGATTAAAAGGCTAAAGAATATTTAGTTCTAACTAGGACATCTATAATATATAGCTCACTCCAAAGACCCAGAGATCTTGATGGAAGAGGGGGGGCATGAAGAGCATAAAATCCAGAGGTTGTTTGTGAGTATAAGGAAATGATACTTGCTGCACAACATAGGCAGCTACAGATATGAACCCACAGTAGTTGTGACAGTAGACTCTATTTTTCCCATAGAACATGTTTCAAATACCCCTGCCACATCTACATGGCTTTACTTCTGAGTTCTCTGTTCTATTTATATTACTTAGGTTTTTATTGCTGTGATAAACAGCATGACCAAAGCAACCTGGAGAGAGAAGTTTTGATTTGCCATATAGTTCCACATAGTTTAAGATTCTATGAAGGCAGCAATTGGCAGGCATTATGTCAGAAAACAGAAGTAGAGTGATCACATCCTGAACCAGGAATGCTTACATCCTAAAGCAGGAAGCAGAGAGAACAAATTGTGAATAGCACAAGGCTTTTAAACCCAGGAGTTTACACACAATATTATGTTTCCTCCAGCAAGACCTCTTAAGTCTCTCCAAACTGTATCACCAACTTAGAATGAAATAAGACAAATGTCAGAGCCTATCAGGATATTCTCATTTAAACCACTACAATGATTCATTGCTCTATATGTATATTTTATGCCAATACAATGCTGTCTTTTTATTATGGCTTTATAGTACAGTTTGAGATCACATATTGTGGTACCTTGAGCAGTGTTCTCTGCTTAGAATAGCTATGTCTATGTGACTCATTTTTTCTATTTATGTGAGGGATAGTATTGTAATGTTGATGTGAATTGCATTAGAATTTTGGCAATATTCACACTATTAATTCTACCAATCCTAGATCATGAAGGTGTTACTTTCATCTCTTTTTTTCTTTTTTCCATGTCTTCAAGTTTTTGTTCTAGAGATCTTTCTCTTCTTTGGTTATGATTATTCCTAAGTACATCATCTTTGTACCTACAGGGAATGTGATATTTTCCCCAATTTGCTGCTCTACCAAGTTCATTATTAGTATAGATAGAAGCTACAAAATTTTACTTTAATTTTTTTCCTTTCCCGTAACTGGACATATTTGTTAGACATGAAAAAAAGTTTTCTGATAGGGTCAGTGATTCCATTAATCTATGAACCATGTCATCTGCAAGAAGGAATAGTGTGACTTCTTCATTTCACCTTTTTGCCCCCATTATATCTTGTCTCATTGTGATAGCTAAGACTTAAACACTGGATTGGATAAAATGGTGTTATACATAGGATAGTGAGATAAAATAGAAATGGAATTTTAAATGTAAGAATAAAACATAATTCCTAGCCATAACATAGAAAAATAATATTACAAGACAGTGCAATTATCTCACCATACAGGATAAGATGAAGAAAACATATCAAAAACTAAAGTTCATTATTTTATTTCACCATGAATTTATATAGTTTTGTGCTAAATACAGTTTTTCTTAATAGTAATAATTTTTTACTATTTTAAAGAAGAGAATCTTTACTTCTTATATATGTCACTTGAATTTAAATTGTACCTAAACATGTGGTATCAGATGATTGAAAATTTTGAAGAATTTGTTGACAAAATACAGAAAATGACTAAATGGGGACAGCTGCATATTTCACTGATAATGAAGTATAATAAATAGGATTGCAAAATGAGGAGTCAAATTAAACTCATTTAAAGACAGATTCCAAGAATACAAAACAAGAGCATATTCTATTTCTACAATCAGATCAATGCATCTCAGATCTGACATGATGCTCTGAATCCAGCAGTCATGGGGATTTCTTGAGGCCCAACAAGTATAAAATTGACTCTATCACAAAAACTTTTTTCACAGCTTTTTTAATGTCTTTATTCCTCAGACAATAGATGAAGGGGTTAAGCATAGGAGTGACCACACTGTATAAAACTGAAGCTCTTGCAGTTGACTGTGAGTTTTCTGTTACAACAGAACTCAGATATAGACCTATTCCTGTGCAATAAAATAAAGAGACAACTGAGAGGTGAGATGCACATGTGGAAAATGCTTTGTACTTCCCTTGAGCTGATGAGATAGCATGTATGCAGGAAATTATTTTGTAGTAAGAGTAGAGGATGGCTATGAAGGATCCAGCAGCCATCAACACAGGTAAAAGATACATGGCAAGAACAGTAACAAAGTTTTCAGAACAGGTGAGTTGCAACACCTGATTCAGCTCACAGAAAAAGTGATAAATTTTCAACTCTGTGCAGAAAGATAACTGTAGCACCATGAAGCCTTCTGATGAGACATGCAGGGCATTTGCTATCCAGGACACCAGAACCATTAACACACAGAGTCTTGGATTCATGATGACTGTGTAATGCAAGGGATGACAAATGGCCACATATCGGTCATAAGCCATTATGGTAAGCAAAAAGATGTCCAATCCTGAAAAGAATATGAAGGATAGCATTTGGGTGATGCAGTCTTTATACACTATGAACTTACAATGTGACTGGAGGTTCACTAGCATCTTTGGTACAGTGGTGGAGGTGAAACAGATGTCCACAAATGACAAGTTGGAGAGGAAGAAGTACATGGGTGTGTGCAGGTGAGAGTCAGAGATAGTGATCATGATTATGAGCAGGTTCCCAAGCACTGTGACCAAGTACATGGCCAGAAACAGTCCAAAGAGGACAGGCTGCAACCTTGGGTCCTCTGAAATTCCCAGAAGAAGAAATTGTGAAATCTGTGTATCATTCTTTGGCCCCATGTGGTTTATGTTACTAAAAATTAAAAACAAAAAAGAAAACATAATGATGGAGATGAGGTAACCATATGGAAACACTATTATATTCTACAGTCAAACAATGATTTCTAGGGTTTTCCATGTGAGTTTAATTTTGGATAATCCTCCACCTAGTGGTGGCAGCCATGTGACTTCTTTGGGGGAAAGGCCTGAGAATAGCAAGCAACACTCTCCTTGTTGCAAGGCCCAGGAGGTGTTAACCTTTTGGCAAACCTTTCAGACAGTTCTCTGCATAATTCTAGGCATGACTCCAGGAGCATAAGCGCTAAATTCTCTCCTTGTTTTTGCTTTATAAGCCATATTGTTGGTTACTTTTAGTTTCACTTTCTCAGTCATGGATAAAATAGCAATTATAAAAGGAAAAATCACTCCTGGTTATGTTCCTCTGAGTCAGCCAGAGGGAAGGTTGTTAAAACATCCAGGGGACCTGATTCAGCCTCTAAAATCTTTGATGTTTCAAGTGTTACCATGAATTCAGGCATTTTAAAGAATAGGATGTTGTCTTTCCAATACACTCTGTAACTAGCCTGAAAGAGTCACAGTAGCTCATAATGTTTAATATTACATTTTTGCATACTGTAATTATGGGAAGGTTGTTTTAATCACAAGAGTCTTAGAGAAACGTTAATAAATAAATAAATAAATAAATAAATAAATAAATAAATAAATGTTCCCAGGAGTTAATGGGTTAATGGGAACAGTCTAGAGACAGAGAATGAAGTAGAATCATAGAAACAGATTTCTCATTTTTAACAACTGTGCAAATACCATAAGAAGTTAACAGAGATGGACATATGGACAAGGGATAAACATTTAAGGGATAAACAATTAAGAGTAAGTTTCCAAGTAATGTTGCCTATAAGATAAATTGAAAAACTTGGTATATCCCCAGAGGAGATGGAGTAGTACAGAAAGTATAATGAATTAATCAAGCTTTGTAGGGTGAGTTAATTTTAAGAACCCAGATCTTACCAGACGTAAATATTAACCACTAGAGATAAAATTCTCTACCATTTTGCATGATGGTATAACCACCAATGCGGCAAACTGGACACATTGTTCTACCTGTAGGTGTGCCTAATTAGAAAACTTCCTTTGTGGCTTACAACACTGCTTATGCTTCTAACATTAGAGCTAAAGATCAAATAGGTAATGGTTACCAGTGGGAAAGTTGGTGGACAGAGGGTAAATGAAGCAAAGGTACAAACTGGTAATTATTTCAACCATTTTTAGAAACATAAGGAAACAAATCTGATTATAAAACTGTTCAAGCAAACCAATGGAATTGTATAAATAAAAACAGCCCTAGGCTATCCAGGGCTACTTCTTCAAACAACATTGTGGTCACAGTTTCTTCCTTGCACCAACTTTACACATCTGTCCCAGGATATGGCACCAATCTGGAGCAAGGCTCCCAGAACTCTAGCCTTATCTGATGTAGAAAGTTTTACTCACTCTCAGCTTTACTCAAAAGTTATGCATTGAAATATTTAAACCTTAATCCTTGTGATGGATGGGTTTTCTTCAGCTTATCTCAAACCTTGACAATTCTGGAAGAGAGAAATTTTAATTAAAAAAAAATGCCTCTATAAGATTCACGTGTGAACAAACTTGTAGCACATTCTCTTGATTGGTGATTGATATGGGTGTGCTAACCCAAATACCCAGGCTGTTCTCCTATGAGAAAGCAGGCTCTGCCTTAGCATCTGGAGGCCAAAAGAAGTAGCAGAATCCAAAACTGTTTCAGTCTCTCTAAAGATGATATCTACCATTAGGTTTACGGAAAGTCCTTAAACAAGGAGATGGCAAGAAAACCAGAACCAATGCAATCAAGATCCAGTTTTTTGTTATTCCACATGCCCGCAACATAAATGATGAGATATTTCCCTGGAAAACCCAAACGCTAAGAAAAAGGAGGAAGAGACTGCAGATATACTAAGCTTTGGCCAGAACAATGAAAGAAGGCAAATAATATGGAGTAAGGTGGGTAGGGAGGGGGTGAATATATGGGAGGAGAAAGAATAGGATCAGAGTGTATTGCTTTCAAAATTTAAAAATAAATTTTTAAAATAGAGTCTTTAAAAGTAACAAATGATCAGAACTTGTGGCAGGGGAAAATGATGAGTAACAAAGCACCCTCTATGCTGCTGAGACATGAAGATCCCGGAAGTGACTCTGATCACTAGTTTCATTTGCTTCTTGCCCCAGTCACACTATGAACATTTTTCCTGTGTTATTCTAAAACTACCAGTTTTGAAGTTTTCAAAAAAAAATCCAACAAGCATATTCCATTTCTGCCTTTGTTTCTTCCAATATGTAAAACCTTCCAACCCATTTCTCGAAATCCTGCATTCACCAGAAAACCTCTCCTTCACCTTTAACTCAAATCTCTGTATGCCTAATCCCCATTGCTATAACATTACTGTGTTCTGAGACTGAACATTGAGATGAAAGATCTAGGTGAGTAGACCTCCCCTGCTTTCTCACTTCCTCACTTTCACAGTGGTAGTGAATATGTATGCATTATATACAACAACAACAGTGAGAAAAAGGACATTGTAATTTGTGTTATGCAAAGAATTCCAGGGATTATAGACAAAGTGGAAGATTTCCAAACAATTAAACTTTATAGATTTGGAGTCATCATCAAGAATTAAAAAAATGAATTACCAATAATAGTGCTATCTATCTATCTATCTAATCTATCTATTTATCTGTCTGTCTGTTCATCTACCTATCTTCCTATTACTTAGCAATAGTTTACACTAAAAGACTCAATAAACAATGACCTTCTAATATTTTGACCCACTGATGCTGCTTGGTTACTATGCACTGACAATGATATTTTTGGACATTTATCACATGTCAAGAACACATTTTAGTCAACTTTTAAAAACCATGAACAATTAAATAAAACCTAAAGTTCATGTGTGGACTAGATGAGATGAGAAACTCAGAAGAAAAACCATAGACATATTTCACTTAAAATTTGTTTTAGTACATATGATCAAAACATCTAGCCACTGAAAATGTATACAAATAATAAAAACAAAATTCTACTGATATGAAGTAGTTGTAGCATAGCAATAATAAGCAACTCAGAGCATTACTGGAACTCAGAAATAAGAAATGCTATAACTTCCTCCTCCTATTCACCATATGTAATGTGAAATTTCTCCTGTCTACCTAATGAACTGTGAGAATCCTTGACCCATGCCTTGCTTACATGAAATCCCCTCAAGCCCCTAAATTCCCATTTTAATTGCCTCCCATTGACACAACTTCACAGTCAGCAATAATCCTGAATTGCTGACTTGAAAGTTCCCCTCTGTTCCTAGCATTCAATTACATGAATTGGTGATTTCCTTGAAGAAACAAGAAAATCCACATAGCCACCTCTGAGCTATCCCTCAGATCAGCTTGGCTGGGCTGGCTGTCAGAGTCTTTGGGCAAATGTTCTTGTCTTCTATCTCTCACAATCTTTGCTGTGCTGTCTTTGAAACTCACCTGCATGAGTTGTCTAAACTGAAGGTTTCTGTGTGGAAGAATAATTTGTCCCCCTAAAAAGGGCACTGACAGAGGAGACTGACACTGTGTAATAGCAAATCAGTCCTCAGACCCTGAAATGTTGAGGACATTAAAGGAAATAACCATACCATGTGCAAACCAAAAACTGTACACACTAAGGGGCAATAACAGGGGCAGTATTTACAGCTATGCATGTCTGCTCATTAGGAACATTTCCATCTGAGTATTCCACCGTTCAGCCAATCATTTCCCTATGGGATGTGACTCTTCATAGAAACCAACTTCTTCCTTGCTGATTCCCTTTTCCCCATGGCACCTGGTTATTGCCATATGACTCATTGTTGCTGTTGTTACTTCTCCATGGACTCCCCTGGTGTCCAGAGATCTAAAACTCAAACTCAACACAAAGACCTTCAATTCATGTTTACTGAATCTGTTTTGCAGGATCTCATGCATTCCAAAGCCTTTGTTTGTGTTTGTAAGAGTAACACTTATAAATCCATGTTTTAATATTCATCTTTTGTACTAGCAATCTCTGACCCCTTGATACAATACCATAAAATGTGTGATGCATATCTTCATGCTACATTTTACAAAATGATTACTAATACCATGTGTTTAGTAATTAGTGTTTCCATTTACTTATCTTAGAAATATTTGATAACTTAAATATTTAAAATATATACTTAACTTATAGCACATATATTATATATTAGTATATAATATACAATTAAATATAATTATATATTTTGAGTTTCATATATATATTATGCCCCTCTCTTATTCCCACTCCTACTGAAACCTTCCTTCTTAGCAATTTTCCCTTCTGCTTTCATGTTTTTTTTTCGTGATATTTTCCCTGAGTTTAATTAGTGCCCCTTGCTTGAGCTGTGGGTCTCTATATTTGTTCTCATCTGCTGATGAGGGTTACGCAAGTTACTTACGTATGAATATACAAGAATGCCATTATTTTCATTTTGTTGATACAGTTTTTATTGGGGGTGGGCAAGGTTGTCAGTGTTTGCTTGTTTTATTTTTATTGTGAGCCTAGGCTTTAACATCTGAACCACCTCTCCAGCCCATGTTTGTTTGATTTATAACAGTAGCAATTGGTAGTGTTGGATCCATGTTCCATCTTCTGGAATGGGTGTTAAGTGAAATCAGATATTGATCAGTTAGTCCCCCAATCTTTGTGCCACTATAGCACTAACATATCTTGAAGGTAGTACGCTACTGTACAGCAAACGGTTTGCAGCTGGATTGGTGTATATGTTTCTTCTGTAGTAGAACGCAGTCTACCTCTACCAAAGATTCTGCCATGTAGGGGTGAAGGTTCTTTATATGTACCAGATCAATTTCTCTATGTTCAATGAGTGGTGCTGGTGTTGTCTTCAGCAATAGGGCCTTGTCATTACTTTCTGAAGAGCAACATATAG